AAGGCTACTTTTAAGTTTTTTTTTAGTTCCGTGCGGACGGAGTCGTAGCTAACAGCTTGTCTTAACATAAACATAAAAAGAAAATATTCAATTATTGGCTAAATATAAACAAATGAAAAAAAAAACAAATGATATGTTAGAAAGTGCTTTTATCGCTCCAACGAACATGAAACGTTCTTTGAGAAAGAATGCTTTAAAAAGTTTCGCAAATAACAAATGTCTTGCAGTGGCATTGCTAGAAGTGTCATCTTTAGAGACAAAGTCTTTGCACTTTTAGCTGCAGCTTAGAATTAAAACTTAAGTGTTGGAATATTACTTAGTGTATGTATAATATAATTTTTAACTTACTTGCATTTATAGTATTTTTTTTTTATAGTTAAAAATACTTTGACAATTTTTTTTTTAGATTAGAGACGTTTATGTAAGTATGTACATAAATTGGTTATGTATCTATGATATAAAATATATATAATAATGATATAAGTGCAATCGGTGATGTAGAAATGTATTTTGACATAAAATTTTATTTATTTAATTTTTACGTATATACATTTGGAATTTCCGACAGTATTAAAGCTTTTAAGCTATTGTCCAGTCATGCATACAAAGTCATACAAAGAGGAGAGCTTTACAACTGAAAGCCCCTTGATATCTTTCATGATGAATTCTTGACATTGAAAATTTTTGAATTATAAAACTTGAAAAAAAAAATTATGCGACTCTATAATCCCCTTTAAGTTACTATTTAGTAAGTTACTTAAGTTTATTTTTATTGTATAAATAAGCAGATTTGAATACAATAATACAAAACGGCAAAAGTACATTTAATTAATTTATATATAAAAGAGACGAAAAAGAAATATTCTGTTAGAAAATTTCGAAATACTAATCCCATTTATAATGATTAATTAATTTCTCAGTAATCTAGCTGTAAGATTATTTTAAATATTTTTTCTTAATTAATAAAATATTTAACAAATATTAGAAAGAATAATGTATTTTTAACCATAGTATGAATGTTAATATTCAGGAATACTGTAGCAGTTTTTTTTTATTTATTGTAAGTAATAATCTTACTTATAGTATGAACTGGCTATCGGCCGCGACTCCGTCCGTGAGGATATATAAAAAAACTTAATATATAGATAAGTTAAATAAAAAGCAGCTCTTTAAGGCATAAATTCGAAAAAAAATGAATAAATATTATAGTATCCTATGTCCGTCTTCTGGCTCTAAGCTACCTCCTCACCAATTTTGAGCCATATCGGTAAAGCCGTTCTTGAGTTATAAAAAGTGTAACTAACACGACTTTCTTTTATATATAATATATAGATGCGAAAGTTTAGATTGATGGATGGATATTTTTTAGAAGGTATCTCCGGAACGGTTTAATGGATCTTGATGAAACTTGACACAGACATAGACTATAGCAGGTGGAGTTGCGGACGAAAGCGAAAGCGTGCCCGTGACTTTCCGCCATCATGCGTAGGAGGAATAGAGGGGTTTAGTGGGTATGCTTCCCATCTGGATGAGAATCCCACATAACTACCGTGACACACCCCTCTGGGGCACGGAGTATGCATAAAGCATTCCTCTCTAAAAAAATACATAGACAATAGTCTTGAAGAACATGTTGGCTACTTATTAAGTTTATTTTTAAACACCACGCCGAAGGAGTCGCGGCCAACAGCCAGTTTCGAATATAAATTATCTTAAACTAAATGAGTTACACGCCAGTTTAGTATTTGAATTGTTAATACTAATAAAATATATATGCTATAACTCATCTGCGAGAAACCATCTTGTTGCAAACTAAACTCAATATGTTAACGTCAATGAAATCTGCGAGGAGCCGCTTAATAGAACAATATATTGGAGATGCAATTCCTCTTCTGACATGTTCAAAGTTATAAAAAATTAAATAAACATCAACACATCATTGAATTATGTCACCCTAGTTATAAAACTGGTCCAAACAAAGAAATTATGAGTACAAAAAAAACACTGAATCTGTAAATTTCGCATATACGTTTATTTATAAGAACTCACTTCTCTTTCAAACGAGCAGAATAATGTGTTCATCAACGCCCATGGACATCAGCAATAACAGAAGAAAGACAGATGCGTTGCTGGCATTTGACATGGGGATACGTTCGGTTCTTGAAAGATCTTAAGTCGTAGCGGTTTGGAAATACCGCCGAGGACAGACCATTCCACAACAAACGACTAATTAATTAATTAACGGTATTAATCGACTACTTTAAGAAGTGCTTAGCTTAGTACTAGTCAGATCATCGTCATTCAATTGTTATTTTTTTAGTTTGAGTAATTCTTTAACATTATCTGTGATAAACTGAACGTAACTAATTTTAGATAGTAAATTTGGGGTCAGTCAATAGGGACAAACAAGGAAAGCGTTTAGGTTAGAGATACGTGGCCGCCGCGGGGTAAACCTAACCTAAAAACTTAATACGTGGGTGTAACGCGAAACGGGTCACGCGCGTGGGATCTTAAGTTATACGTTACTTATACATCATAAATATCGCTTTCTACCTTTTTACCTATGTAATTACACTTATGTTATACATAATTGTGTCATTATTGTTGTAGATAATAGTAACCGTTGGTTTCTGAAAACAAATTCTCTGTATAAAATATATTGCCATCCCTGCCATCTTTGACAAAACAGACACAATTTGTTTTAAAAGTCTTAGCTACCCACAGTAAGACATCGCACAACAAAAAGTTATTAAATTTTCTAATTCTTACAATGGGTTGGTTTCTAGTAATAAAAATTGCAGTAATTAAAAAGGAGAGAAAAGATTTTTTTTGTTTCTAGTTTGTTATCGAACAGTCTGTTAATACTTTATCACGGTTTTGATTGAAGACTTTGGATGTATTAATGAAAAATCAAGGCAATAGTATGGACTTAACGTATATGTACGTTAGTAAATTAGGGTCTGTCAAGAAGCGAGTGTAACTCTTTTTAAAAGGTTGGCAACGCAGATGCGTTCGCAGTGTTGTGGAAGTCCATGGGCGTTGATCATCTCTTTGTTCTCGTTACTCGTTTGCCCTTAATTTAACCTTAAGTCAATTTAATCTTACCTTTATAAGTCTCAAGATATTCTGAAATACATGGAAGAAAATGAACGTATTTGTTGACAATGAAGAATCGTTTTCAATCTCTTACGAATGATTGGATCGTATTGGCATACGTTGAAAGGCTAGCCGGGTAATAAATTGTAAAGGTGATTGAGCTGAAGTAAAAAGGGCGAGACATTGACATTGATATAAATCAGATATCAGAAATCAATTAGCGTATGATAGGAATCGATTTTATTTAGAAATGGTATTGTATTTCCGCGTAATGTACGTATTCAATTTTATTACGCATCGTTACCTCAGTAAATATCAAAGTAATCTGAACTCTAATATAAAAGGTAAAAGGTAAATTATACAATGGCTATATTTTAATCAAATAAGTAATTTTCTTCTTTATAAATACGTAGAAGACTTGTTTCAAACTCGAATACACTGGAGATTCTTGTTACATGGTACTCCGCAGACAGTCTTCATTTTTTTATAATATAAGGCGGCAAACGAGCGGACACCTTAAATCGCTGATGTAGCGAAGTGACCGTTGCCCATAGACATACGCAGTTGCATATACGTTGCCTACCTTTAATCGATGGAGGAGAGGATGCACAGAAAGAAAATATTTTCCCTTTCCATGCATCCTCTCATCCGGAAAGTCCCATCCTTTCCTTATTAGAAAAAGGGTGGAAAGTGAAAGAGAACTAAATTAGGCCTCCGGGACGGACACTCATCAGACAAAACGCGGAATTGCTTCCACTTGACGCCTGTCTTCTGTGTGGTCGTGGTATTTCACCGGGCGAGCCGGGACAATTCGTGCGAAGATGTTAAAGCGGGCTCTACCACTGTTATGTTGTTAAGACTTTTGTCCATTTATTAAATCAAATAAGAAATAAATCTTTATAGAAGGAAGAATTTTATTGTAGGTAAAAATTATTAATTTCAATAATAATAAAATGTTGCCATAGTAAATTTTAATAATTATCATTTCAAGGTTTTCTTTGGATCATAGGTCATTCAACTATCTATTGTAGATATTTCGTTATAGTAAAAAAATAAATAAAATTCGTTCTAAGGCGTTTCGTGTCTAAAGAATTTGAGTCTGGAATACGAAGTATTTCATCTTAGTCTATTAGATGCCCGGTGTGATGTTCAGTGCTTAATAAAGTTTTCTTTATGAAATGGACGTTCTTATTTTTTTTTTCTTATTAACACAGAATATTAAAAGCAAATATGTTATAGAGAAATTAAATATTGTCAAATTCTAAACATAAATTATCAGATGTTAATGATTTTTGATAAATCAGGCCATCGGGCTGACATGGCCCCGAGACTAAACGCAGAGCCCAAGATAACGCGAACTGGCAGAGCACTGTGGACGCCCTCTGTCCCATTACGGGGACATAGGACTTTAAGTCAAGTCAAGTCAAATGCTTTTTGATTTGATGAGGTATATTTTGTATATTTATGTTTTTTTAAACATGTTTTCATCCGCCATATTGTGTTGATGGTCTTTGTCTCGACTCACTAATTACGTGAACCAAAAACTTTTTTTTTATATATATATTATTGGACTTTTGAATACTTTTATACATTTCCCTTCTTTATCTAAGTCCAACGCCCTGTTTACTAATGATCACAGATACAACACATTGGATTGAAGATAAATCGTGTTTTGTCAAAACACTGTCGCCACGCCTTTTGTATAAGGTTAACGACCTCCCAAGTTATAAAGGGCAATCTTTTACAAAAACAATTGAATTAAACTTTTGTCTTTGAAATTATTGTATGATAAATGTAACCCCATTGGTATAAAACGAAACAAGAAATTATTTCTGTGCATTTCTGTCAAGTAAACGAGTTAATTACTAATCTCTAATGCCATCTTTTTCCAGGTGATTGCTAACAAAAAAAGAGTGACGAATCAACTAGACCTTTAAGCTTCGAAGTTGCGGACAACAGCAAGCTTCACAAAATGGTAAGTACCGAAATAATTAAATGAAAAATTTATTGTACGCGATCACATTACTCGATAATGATACTTCGTTAAACTAACCTTTAAAGGTTTGAAAGTCACATACAAACACTGTTATTTCGATCAGCAACAATGTTTATTAAATAGCAAATTAAAGAATAAAACGTTTTGTACAATCTTTAAATGTAACCCCATTATAAATGTTCAATTGAATTGAAAATATTGGTCACAAAACTTAACTTATAAATAAATTTTCGACTTACTTTTTTTACTTAACGCTCGGTTAAGAGTTCAATTATGTGGTGCTAGCTGTCGCTCGCGATTCCGTTCGCGCGGAATTAAAAAAAAAACTTAATTAGTAGCCTATGTGTTCTTTCAGATTATGCTCTACCCATACGCCAAATTTCATCCAGGTACATGCATGTTTGGGAGATACTTTTTAACATCCATCCATCTAAACATTAGGATTTATATTAGTAAGATCTATTTTAAAGATGAGTCATAACTTTTAAATTATCTTCGTCTAAAAATAGGTTTTAATGTATTTTTTTTAACTAAATGCATTATCTAGATGTTTGAACATGACGTACCGAAAAATAAATGAAGAAAGTCTTTTATCATCATTAACAAATTAAGGGTTTAAACATGTCAAAATTATTCAGTATATAAAAGATTGTAACTTTTTCAAATATATTACATTATCTGGTTTATTTAAGAAGATAATTTGGATGAAATTCTTACTCATGACTTATTATTTTTAATTCGCTGATTTTGTAAAATCTCTTTAATTATTTCACACAGAATTCTGATTAAGTAAAAACTAGCTGTAGACCGCAACTCCGTCCACGCAGAATAAAAAATAACTTAATAATAGTAGTAGTAGGCTATGTGTCCTTCCAGACTATTTTATACATCTATACCAAGTTTCAGCAAGATTCGTGTAGCTGTTCTGGAGATACCTTCAAACAAACATCCATCCATCTATCCATAAAACATTCACATTTATAATATTAGTAGGATTATTAATCTTTTCCAAACGACGCTGTATATTATACAATAAATATTTCTTATTCTGCTCCAATAACTTTAATAGAACTTGGACAATATGATATGTAACGGGGAGTAGAGACGGCGACGATCGAACTATCCTTGAAATAAATAAGCACCTATATGTAACCTTCGATTTAATAAATATATACATATGTAAGTCTACATATGAAAATAATGAGAGCATCGGTGGCTCAGTGGTCAAGCACTTGACTTGCAATCTGCAGGTCCTGGGTTCGAATCCCGCCATGTACCAATGTGTTTTTCGATTTTCGATTTACATATGTACATTTATCCGACGTTCTTACGGTGAAGGAAAACATCGTGATGCAACCTTGCACATATCTGAGAAGTAATTCAAAGATATGTGTGAAGTCAACCAACCCGCATTTGGCTAGCGTGGTTGACTATGGCCTAATCACGCTTAACTTAGGGTAGGCTCCGAGCCCCTCGGTGGGGACGTATAGTGAGCTGATGATGATGATGAGTAGAAATTAAAGTTATGTGTGAAGTCAACTAACCCGCACTGCGCCAGTGTAGCTATAGCCTACTCACCCCTAACATAGGGTAGGCTCTGAGCCACTCAGTGCATACAGTATAGTGACAATGATGATGATAATGATTGTTAATCGTATTTATTAGAAAGTAAACTGCTAATCTCTTAGTACGTAAGTAGGAACCCTTCCCTAATCCAGTTAATAGTATAAGTGGTCCTCACATGACTTAAAGTCCCATTTCTCCGTTGTGGTGTATAGTGCACCATTAGTTTTTGAGGCTCATATCATCACATTACATCTAATAATCGTCATCATCATCAGGTTACTATACTTCACTGAGGGGCTCGAAGCCTACCCTAAGTGAATAGGCCATAATCAACTAAATCTAACAATAATAAGTGGTACTATACAATATAAAAATGGTCTAGAAAGTATATGAAAGTAATCAATCGATGCGACTTCCCTCAAAGTATCAGATCGGAAAAATTGATTCTATTATTAATCGAGTTGCTCAATCTAAGTTTGTATTGTTAGACGACAAAACTTTTTTTATAGAAGGTCTCTATATAGAACTTTTGAACAATCTTCTAATATAATGTCAATATGATTTTGTTAAATGTAAAATAAATGTCTATTAAAATTGAAACCTTTGTTTTTGACGAATAATTTTCAAAAATATCATTCGGTTTTATACAATGAACGCTATCATGAACACTTAGCATAAAGGGTATTGATATTGGCAATTATCTTGGCAGCTCAGAACAACGTACGAGTTGTTGCACAGAATACCATTAAGAATTGTGGAGCGTTATGGTATTCGGGGGAACGCGACTGCGCACCACGCAGCTCAAGGCCAGCCGCCAAGATATTTGAAATGATATATATTTTTAGTTAATCGGTTGGCGGTTTTCATGACAAATAATTTAAACTATATCTTATTATCTTAATAATATCATATATTCGAATGTTTTTAATGGATTGATGTTTGTTAGAAGATACCTTTAGAGCGGCTGCATAGATCTCACTAAAATTTGGAATAGACGTAGCCTATAAGAACACATAGGTTATTGATTAAGTTTTTATTAAATTTCATATGTACGAAGTCGCGGGCAACAGCCAGTACTTTATATATGTATATTATAAAGGTTAACATACTAAGTGCAATAACCCCCTTATTTGCGAGCAAATGTTGTGAAATGTTTATTTTATGAAGCGACTCATTAAAGCTTTTAGCCACAAGAATAACTTCTCGCCATACGCATGTTTTATTACGGTCCAGTGTTTTCCAATACACCATTCTTTTATACGATAAAGGTTTACTTCGTAGGTCGATGTGCTTTTTACAGTTAAGTTACGTAACACTTAGCTGCTACGACTTTGGTAGACTTTATTGTTTAAATAGCTACGTTATGTATGAAATTGTTATATTTTATATAAATTAAATAAACAAGCACTTAATTACTATTGTAATGTACTGATGTGCTCTAAAGTCTGCTTTTGAACGTACTTACGTCTTAATGTACATACTTTAATTTACTACGTTCCAAGAATATTTGCCTATTAATCTTACTAATATTATAAATGCGAATGTTTGGATGGATGGATAGATGGATGGTTGTTTGCAAGCTGTATGGATCTCTTTGATATTTGGCATAAATGTACAGGTCGTAGACTTCTTATTAAGCTTTTTTAAAATTCGGCGCGGACGGAGTCGCGGGCGGCAGCTAGTATTTAATAAAAAAAAATAATAGAAAATTGCTACTAATTTAAATAATTCCTATTATTGGTTTTGTAAGAACCAGATAATCTTAGCGATTTAAAATTTTAAAGTATTCTTGAATAAGAATTAGAAATGTAAGAAGTCTTATTGATTGCCTTTGTTCTACTGCAGAGCTAAGCAAAGATAAAGTAAACAAAGATTAAAATGAAATTGCAGTTCTTGTTAGAGAATTTAATTCAATTGTTTAAAAAGGGATTACTAATCGTCGGCATTTTGTAAAATACTTTTCATTACAAATCAACTTTTGTGAAACAATGCGTAGCAGTTCTATCGATAATGCTATTAATCTTTACTACGAGTTGTAAAATCTTTTTTTTTATATCATAAGGTGGCAAACGAGCGAACGGCCACCTGAAGTCGCTGAAATAGCGAAGTGACCGTTGCCCATAGAGATACGCAATTGCATATACGTTGCCTACCTTTAATCGACGGAGGAGAGGATACACAGAAAGAAAATATTTTCCCTTTCCATGGATCCTTTCATCCGGAAAATCCACTTCCACTTCCTATCCTATCCTTATAAGAAAACGGGTGGGAAGGGAAAGAGGACTAATTTTGGCCTCCGGGACACACACTCATCAGACGAAACGCGGAATAGCTTCCACTTCACGCCTGTCTAAGCTAAAGTTTAAGCTAAAGTACAAAATACTGTCTCTAAAATGACATATAGAGTTGCTGATTTGATCTTATTGCGCCACTCAGAGATGCTAATTCATCAGTGATCCCGTTAGTGTAGATATAAACCAAGATATCAATGATAAGGAGCATGGAGTAATTCTTGAAAAAACTTTAAGTATAGCCATTAAATTCATGAACTTATGTATTGGTTTCTAATAACAAAAACACTGTATAAAAAATATCGTCATCCCTGTCATTATGTTTGACAAAACAGAAATGACAATACATGAAAAGGGAGATTTTGGGCTAAAAAACCCACCGTAAGTACGACAGTATTAATGTTATGGGGAAAGTAGTTATAACAGACAAAAAATATTTAAGGATATTTCCTCTTTATTACTTATTTACAATTAGAAATTTTGAATTTATCCCTTTTGTTGGCAAATTACAACTTTATTTCTATCAGTTAAAATAATACAACGTTATCACCCTGAGGTAATTTATACAAATGTAATGATATTAAATTCATGTTTAATTAGCACAAAGTAAGCAATGCTAAATGTACACTTGTGTACAAACAGTTGTCTACACGATGCATACTAACATTAATTACGACACTACCAACTTACACTTCAAACGTAACCTTTCAAGTTTCTAATGCAAATAAATGATGATATAAATTGTACGTAAGTAAATTTAGCCAAACATAATGCAAATATACATACCATTATTTACAATGATACAAATTACATTACCATAATATATAGTTTTTGAAAACATTTTCGACGGGTGTTTCGATCGATCGATCTAATGGAATTTTCTATTGAACCGATTGATTATGCACGTATACAATATCGTTGGCACCTTTATGGTTTTCATAACGTGGAAAGTTCTTTTTCTTTTTAAAAATGTTGATTATGTATTCAAGTTATGCAGGCACTTTAATAATTATTTCCTTACTGTTTAGTTATGAAAAAGAAATGAATTTTAACTATATTATATAGCCTAAGCTTTATCCTTGTAGCGAGTTGTAGCCGACGTAGCTGCGTAGCGCGATGTAGCAGTGCTACGGTAGCACCTGAGCGTCTACGGTGTAGACTGGAGTGTACGGGCGGATCATTCGCGCGCAGACCGCCGGCCGCGATGGGCGTCCCGCGAGTTGATAACAGTGCAGCCGAGCTCGAGCTCGAGCGGCCCAGACCCCACCTGTTGATCGTCGACGACTCGAGAGATACGCGTGCAGCTGAAGGTAAGTTAACAATATAACAATTAAAGATCAACAACTTTTTTTTAAATAAATTACATTAAATTAACGCGGTTTATATATTGAAATTAAATTATTTTTCCGTTTTTTTTGCGTTTATTTAATTTTTTTCTTCAGAAAATGTGTATTTTTTCCACGATTTTCAAAATTCAGTAGCATTATTTAATATTTTCACTTTTATTGGTTTATGATTTTTATTAAAGGTTTTTATTGTTAAATTTTTCAAAAGGTTTAAAAAGCATAATTTTATTATGAGTTTGGGTATCGTTTCGCTCCGATGAAATTCACTGAGCACATTAAAGAAATAATGGTGCAAAAATTATTGAAACCTAGGTTTATTCACATCAAATTAAATAAACACATTAAAATTACACACTTGTTATAGTGGTCACATATTTTAGGATATACAATATAATAAACAGTAACTCGATAGGAAATTGTAATTTCTTTTCTCATAAAAAAAAAACTAGATTTTTTTTATTTAAGACCGAATACAAGTTATGGGCATATTTATCAAGTTTATTTTTTATTGGTGATATTTGAAGACTGTTTATAAATTTAAAAAGCTTTTATACTACTAGAACTCTGACTCTGTCTTGAAGGCGAAAGAATCATTTGCTATTATTATTATTAATTTATAAAATAAAATATTGTGGTTGACGGATAATATTTTCGTTTATAAATTGTGCAGCTTGTCCGCTTCACAGGGTGGCGCGGATAATTACACACTGGACAAGGTCTGTAGTCAGACTCATGGCCGGAATATTATCAATATTTTATATTTTACCGTTTAGTTTCATGTTTCGCGTTCAGCTACAGTTATTAAATACAGTTAATGTTTGAAATACTGGATATATCAAATTTTAAAACACCATTTATAATATTAAACTTTTAATAACTGAACAGTAAATACTTTTAATATTAAAATGCTTATGAAAGATTACAGGATGTTCTTTTATTATTGCAAAATAAATATTTTTAAACTTAATAAAAAATTTAGTTAATCGTAATCTATTTTTTTTAACTGAAATCTTAGACTGTCTTGTGTTACTTTAGGATGATTATGACAGTTATTTTACATTTTGACAAGCTATTTTTTAGCTATTCAAATTATTTATTAAAGTGTTTATTTGATATAGTTTAGATCCAGTTATGTAAATCACGACAAAATTTTCCTTTTGTAAACAAGCAAGTTAGAAATAGTCACTGAAATTTTTCCGTCTGATTCAGTACTACGACAATTCGGTCTCTTAATTGGCAGTCTTTGGTAGCCTCATTTCGAGGGCTAACAATGTAAATTCTCTTTAACTTCGTGACGGTAAGCATTATGCTAGGAGTTACGCAGTCCCGGAAATATTACGGCTTTATGTTTTTTTCCGGATGAAAATGGCTTATTTAATAAACATAAGCAAGTAATCTTACATCTATTTGTATTTTCTTTTTATTTTGAGTTTGTATATGAGTTTTGTTTTTTTTAGATTTTTGTATAAATGTACTACGTTTTAGTGGCATTACATGAAAGTAATTTTAATGTGAAACCCAAACAATAAAATTCGTCCTGTTAAATGTATTAAGTTAAAAAAAGTATTTCTGTGGAATGTTTTTTTAAGTTGCGAGTTATTTTACTAAAAGATGTATTAATAAGATATTTAAAGTTACATAAATTATAATTAAATAAAAATTAAGGACGACCGTTACGACCTTTTTAATTTGAGCAAAATTTAAAGTAAATTTTTCTCGATTGACGAACAAAATTAATATTTTGTTACTAAGCGAACGGAAAAAATAAGACTCTTTTACAGTTGAACGATTTTTCCACCGCCGTAGAATTCTGATCTAATTATTGAGTTATTTTATATAGATTTTACAGACGAATGCTTTGAGGATTTCATTAAGGGTTATTAAACATGAATTTATATTTATGCAGGAATAAAATCGTTTCGTAATCAATTTACTCTGTTCTTCTCAAATATACAGAAGAAAATATGTTTATTTACACATGTTTCGCCAGTGGAAACTGACAGTATAAATTTTTTATTCACTTTTTCGCTGTACTAAAAAATAGCTAGTAGCCGATTTCCAGACTTACTGAATATGTGTAAAAAATTCATAACAATCTGTCAAACCATTTCGGAGTAGGACGGTAACTAACATTGTGATACGAAAATTTTATATATACTCGTAGGATACTATCGAAAATAAGGATAGCATTATTTTTATTACATGGCTTCCAAATTGTTTTGGCCACTGTAGCACAAAATCTCCGTGTGATTTTTTTTTAATTCTAGCTTATTATTTTTACTGCACATAGATATTCATTACCCAATATAAATTCAGTAATCTCCCTAAATACAACTAATTGTCTAGATAGCACTCCTTGATATTGAGATTTATTACCTAATTCGAATCGCCGTCTGTTTGTGGCTGAACCAAGGGCGTTATATTTCACGCTGTAGTGAAAATTATTCGATATCATATCGTAGATTCCACGAAAGCGGGGGCGCGGCTGCCGTAGCAACAGGATAGCCCTCTACGGCCAGAGTAATATTGTTTTTAAACGGTATTTAGATTACTTTGTTTGTTTATTAAGTAAAAGATTGATTTTTAAACTATTTAGATGGAAAATGATTATCGGTATTTTTATACAGAAAAGTTTCTTTGTAAGTATATAATAATTAAATCCAATATATCTTTTCCTATATATACATAGTAGATTATGCGTTTGTTGTTTGGCAATAAGTGACAGAGAAAGCATACGTTTTATTGAAGAAGACATGACCTTAATTCATGATTTTCAAATAGTTCTCAAGTAATTGACGCACAAAGAAAGCGACGCAAAAATATTTAATATAAATGTTGGTACAAAATAAAGAAAAATATTCTTTGAATAGGAAACGAAATATGAAATAAAATATTGCGTAAAGAAACAATATCTTCTGGAAATTTATCTTCCTAGTCTAGACATTTGTAGGTAAATTACTTTTTTATCGTTCAAGGGAAACAATTCATGACTACGCCTACGCTACGCGGGTCTACGAGATTTTAAAGTGTTTTGTTTTTTTATAAAATTTGTACAAACATATTCGGCAATCGTGTTTTTATCTCAGTGGTAATAGATTGTGCGCCTATCAAATATAAATTAAATTAATTTTACAAAACATATTCTAAACAATTTCTATTACAAAATAAGTTTAGTAAAACACAAACTCAACAAATATACAGAACATACAAACAAATATTATTTCCATTTGATGCTTCATTTCACAGAAAACAATTTGAAATATGTTTATTTAATAATAAAACTTTAATGTACTTCAAATGGAAACGAAATTAACATTTATCGAGAATTTAAATGAATCGTTAATAAATATACTGCGGCAAATGCTGACGGATGAATTGTAATCCCAGAATATGACAATGTATGGAAATGGCTCATAAAGTATTGGTTTACGAGAAGTTAACGTAGATTTAATGATTCGTCGAATATGATTTACTTATTCAATTATTCATGTTTACATTCATTAATTTAAGAGAGACAAAATGCTTCAAAAGTTTTTATATCATTTTCATTTACAATAGACGTTGTAAATTTTATAAATCAATTGTGAAGGGACAGATTTTAAAAGTAAAATTTAACCAATGTAATAATAGTATAATAATCACTTTTGAATCTGTATTTTTACGTATTGTTCTTATACAGTATGTCTTCGTTATTACCGTTTTTATAATACTATATATAATATACAAGATTTCATTAACATATAGTTAAAAAAAATAACATATAAAATTGAATATACATTTGCAATGATCAGCTATTTGCTCGCATGTATTTATAGAAGCACACCGGATGGTACAAGGTCGGAGGCTGCGCGGGACCTGGTCGTGACCCGGCGCCGGCGGGTCAAGATCAAACGGAAGCGGCGGATGTAGCGCATGCGTATAGCATCTTAATCGCTCCATTGAAGATAAATTCAACTCAACAAGGCTATATATTTTCATATGGTTCATATCATTGGCGGATTCAGGCTTTTGCTACGTTAACGTATGGCAAAGTATGTTGTATATGAACCCTGAGACTTCCTCTGAGGAAAGGTCCCCAATACTACGTGGTTTCGTAAAAAAGCTTTGATATATCAGAAGACCGTTGTCGTTTAATAACTTCGGCACGTTTTTTGAAACTAATAATAAATTAACTAAGTACTCCGGGTGATCAATAGCCCAGCGTAGAATATTTGAATACTTTAAACTTCAAAATTGGTATAGCTATAGGCTAACAGTGGTTACAAATTAAAACGTATACTATATTCTCGTGAAATTACCCATGTCACTCGGGCAAAAAATCAAAGGTGATACGGAAGTTACACGGAAACAAGCGCAATTCATTGTTGTTAAAGCGCGATTCACATCAAAGTTTGTTTATGCTGCAAAGTGAGCTCGCGGCGTTGTGTTTTTTTTTATTCGAATCGTTTTTGTTTTTATTTAAACGCCTTGTTTTTTAATTATTTTTTATTAAGTAGGTTTACATTATATCAGTAGAATTGTAGCTTGTGTAAAAATGTAATAAATAAAATAACATATGTCTGCCTCATTCTTGAAATGATTAAGAAAAACCATTTTTTTTCGTACTAGACAATAGACATTCATGGTCAGACGTCTTTGACTAAAAACTATGAGTTACGACGTGACAAATTATGTTTAAAGTGAAGATGTATTACTTGAAAATCTATACTTAAATAGAAAGATGGAGTTTATTAAACAAAAACAGTTATTTAAGTTTCGGTAAAAGTATTAGACTCAGTGGTTATTTAAATATTGTTATAAGAAAATTCTATAAAGGAAGGCCACCAAAGAAATGTTATCAATAAACATTCCGTAAATTTAATACTTAACCTTGTGGTTGCCGGTTGGCAACAAAGTCGTAAAGACACTTTATATTTATTGTTGTTGGGCGTAGCAGTACAATTCTTCCATAAACAAGTTAAGGC